CAGGAATCTAAACCAGTACTGCTGGAAAGCATGATGGGCAACAGTTTGCATCATGGCTGCATGGTTATTGAACTGGTACATCAACTACTTCTGAGCGGCCGGACAAGCAAGCACTGTCAAAAGTAGAGATGGGAACACTATGCTGAAGTCACAACTGTACACGCCTCGTGCTTCGAGTAGGGCTCTCTCTTCTGCTTGTGCCCAGATAATGAAGGACTGAGGAGCACAAAATACAGGCTCGGTTTTTCTGTCAGAAATTTCCTTTAGAAGAAATTTGCTTCAGAAGGACAGTTATAAGAGCAGATAGGCTGTGAAACCAGGATATAGGAGAAGACCAAACACATGAAAAGGAAATTTGTTATCAAAATGCTGTACTTGAGGAGAGCAGAAAATAGGCAAGGAATCTATTAAATATCAGTACTCTCTGCATTACAATTTATTATTATATTTTTCTATCTTTATCTCGTTGTAATTAAACCTAGTATTATAGGGGCTACAGAGAAGCTGTGACATTAGGACTGACAGACTGGGCGGGAGGTGGTCTGCAAAAGCATTTATCTTGAAAAGTGATCTACAATATGGAAAAGTTGAGAGCTTCTGCTTTAGTTCAATAACCATTCCTGTTTTGAAGTTTTCTCTTGCAGGAGAAAGTGCTCCCATGCAAGACCTCACTGTGCCATTATTCTCAATGACACTATCACAGTGGTGGCATGCTAAGATCCCATTACAGGAAAGCTGTTAACTAATGACCTTAGTTGCAGTAGAACAGATCAGATTAATGGTACATAGTTAACTTAGACACCTTTCTTTCACAAAACCTGCTCTGTAAAGCAATGTATTTCCCCATATTGCTGTCTAGGAATTTAGAGGCTCAATAACCTTGTTGCTGTCATTCCTTATTTAAATGTTGTCACCGGTGATGCTAGCCTACAGAACATTGCAGATAAAATAGCCTCAACAATAAATATATAGTGCAATAGTAATTGACCTTATCCCATAAGATGCTATCGATAAATAATAAATAATACTTTGCAAATGTTTTTATGTTCCCCCTCCGGAAATCTGTTTAGACTATAAAAGGTTTACTTTCAAGTAGACTTACTAGTTCTTTCCTTTGAGGATCCTAATAATGCTCAAAGTCAAGAGTAATTAGACTAATTGATGGCATAAACACTAATAAAACAGTGCTGTAAAAATCATCAGCAAGCGTAAGCTGCAGGCACAGGTACAGAGACATCTTACAGTTGGATACGTTTATTACTCACAAATATTTGTAGAAAAAACTGACCTTCACAAAGTAACAATGTGGGGGTTTTTTAGCACACTATTGCACGCTGTCAAAGTGGCATAGGCTCCTTTCATTATACATTTTGACACACTAATGCAAGTTTATGTATTTTTGTTACCAGTTTACAGTTAATTAAAAGTGACAGTGTTCCTTTAAATTCTCTAGAGACCATTTAATCCATTTCCATTGCTATCAGAAACACTGGTTGAAAAAATCAATACCCATTTGTGAATCTTGAGTATGTATTAAACAAGACACGTCTAACCAGTTCATTTGCACTTGAAAGCAGCCATCTGTAGAAGCCAGCTTTGCCTAAGCAGATATGATTGCTAATAATGTGATATCCCTGTAGACTACAAAGCCCACACAGAGCTATTCAGTGTATAGTTCACAGCACTGGCATTAAATTAGTTATGCTGTACTGGTGTTAGACACACACAAAATCAAACTTAAAAATCGATCAACTTGATAACATACAAAGCAAGCAACTCCCATTACCACTGTTATTTCGGTTGACTCCTAAAAGCTCCCAATTTTAATTTTGGAATTTACCAGCAATATAAAAGTAATTAGTATTGTGTATAGCATGAAACATTGTATTAAATGCAAATTAGAAAAGACTGGAGTAATATAACACATTTTTCTAAGAGCAAGGGTTTTTTTAACCTTAATTTAAAACTGAGTAACAACTGCAAATAGGCTTGCTTAACGGCTACTTCAAAACAATAAACATGTAATCATTTAATACAATTTGAACATGGAAGCTTGATGTTTAGAATCTCACATTGTGAAAAGCAAATAAAAATATACAAGCAAAACACTTAACAGATTAATTTACTAGGTATTAACTGATGTAGCTTCTCAGGGAAAACACTCATATTTGAGCATTGAAAACTGTTGCTAGCAAAATTTGAATCTTGGTTACATAAAGTGGTTTCTGACTGCAGAATATTAGATTTATTTATAGCTGTGGTTTCACTTTACAACTACAACTACTACTTCCCTTTTCATAAGGCAGTTCACATGCCGCAACGAACCAATTATACTGGGATTTTTTTTTCCCTCACTTCCTGGGGTTCAAACAAACCTATTAAAGTCCCGCTGCTCAGTATGATCTTCCTTAGTGATACCACTGAGAATAAGCTGAATTTGAAATCATAGTTTTGCATACCTTTCAAGCTATCAAATAGCAAACAATAAAGCTGAACCTTTTAAATTCTTTAACATATTTTGGTGTGTAGGAACCTTCAAATACTGACTGATTAAATCAAACTAATGTGCTTTGTAATTGCAATTTTATAAAATACAAATCTTAAAACATGAAAAATGCCAAATGAGAAATCAAACGCGTATGAAATAAAGGGAAGTTGCTCTGCTTAAGGAAGGTGGAAACAATGCAACAGCAACACAGAGAAGCTTTTCTTATGACATATATTTGCCACGTACAAGTTCATTTCATATTTAATAACTTCAAATTAGACACAATTTGTCAGCTAAAGGAAGGGCACAACTTTGGGCACCCAATCAGTCTCTGCCCTCTAGTGTTGAGAAAGCAGATAAAACTCTTAATAGAAGTCTCACTACAAAGAAGCGTGAGCTCAAGAAAAAAGTTTTTCATTAAATAGCTTCACTGTCTATTCAGTAGGTAGTGGCTAGGAAACTTCACCTATTGTAACATATTTTCATGGACTACATACAGCTATTACTGGCACTCTGCACAATCAAAGTAAGGCATGGCATTTCTGAATAAGACATCAAAGGGCGATTGAATTAAATACTGAAATTACGAATTTTAAGATTCTAATTATGTCTATCAGAGCTTAGGAGTGGAATCCACCAATACTTAAAAAAAAAAAGGGGGTACATTTTTATAATATACTATTCTCTTAACCATTTGCATCCAACATTCATAATACCTTCACTGCAAACTCAAAACAAGATGACACATTATTAGAAGAAACAGATTTTCTGTGTTTCTTGCATTTCCTTTTAGAGGTGTTTCAAAAATTTGCTATCTCATCTTAAAAATTTGATTTTTCAAAAGCAAGTTCATTTTAAAGCTTATTAAATTCTGAACACTAACATGTAAACAGAGGAAAAAAAATTAGCATAGCATTTGGTTTTAGTGTTGACATTTAGTCCATAAACTGTCATACCTTGGATACTGAAACAGTTGTATTCCTGTTCAGTAAGTTGGTGTATTTGAACTCTTTCTTAAGTAAAAGATGAAAACAGATTTTGGTCTATTGCTTGATGTGACTGTTAAGATTTACTTAGCATCAAGAACTTCTTCCCAGTGAAAAACAGACTTGAAATGGAAAAATGGCACATATGGAGGAAGGGAGAAGAAAAAGATAGGGAGCTCACCTTGACAGCAGCTTCTGAACCTCCTTCTTTAAAATCTTCATATTTCATTACTTCAGCCATAATGAATCCCTTTTCAAAATCTGTGTGAATCTTCCCTGCTGCCTGAGGAGCCTTCGTCCCTTTCTGTCAAAGGAAAGACCAGAAGAAAATTAATTGCTTTTAAGAAGATTGATTGTAGGAAAGACGTTTCTCCTTTTTGATATGCTTCCAGGATCTGCTGAAACTTTGTTTCATATCAGTTAAAATGTCAGGAATACAGTTGGGTAATCCTCAATATTGGGACATACAGATAGATGCCTTTGCCACAGATAAACCAACAGATATTAAAGGAAAGCTTTGTTTTTCCTAACAGGTATCAGCAGCAGTATTGATTTTTGAAGCTATGATTGTGTTTTGTCATGAGATTCACTTCGATCCCTAGCTCTCCACACAGAAAGTGAGGAAAATAAAGATTTTTAAATAACTTTAAAATCTGAATTACTCAAGACTTTTACTTGCATCCAAATAATTTCAATCAAATGATAACATTCATTGGCGAAGACGTTTGTAATCAAAAATGATTTATGGATCGCAAGCCATACGCATTAGCTTATTTTTATTTCAGAATAATTTTAGTAAGTCTAATGTAGAACAAAATGACTGTTCTTACCAAAAATCACTAATAAATAAATAAATAAAAAATCACAGCCAACTATTGTAAGATAATGTAAGTTTAGGGAACAGAGGAGAATGCATTATAACTGCATGCTTTAAATTACAAGGACATACATTCTGTGCACATACAACCATGGAGAGAAATTTGAGAAATAATGGTGACCTAAAGGCTGCTTAATAAAGCATGTTAAAGTGCTAAGGAGTCTGACACTGTAAAGCACAGTTTTTACAATAAAAGATGTATTGGGTTAATATGGCTACTCACTGATGCTTACCTGACTAAATATCTTTGCACATTAAATCAAAGATACTTACAATCAGTCTTAAGATAAACCAGCTTTCAAATTTTCTAATAAAGCACAAGCATTTCTCAGACTGAAAACAGAGCAGTTCCAGAATGTGCTTTTAAAAACTACGGCAAGAAGCAAAACAACAAAACTTCTGGTTTTATATTATTTTGGTAGCCTTTGAAAAGGCTAAAAAAATAAAACATGCTTTTAGGAAAATCAGTTTAATGTGCTAAAATATATACACAAACATCAGTATTAATAAAAATATAAATTTACTGGAAATTATGTTGATTAATGAAAACAAATTAATTCAATTGAATGAAATTAAATGCAGCACTGAAATTCACTGCACAGCACTAAACACACTGATGCAAAAAAAAAAAGCTTGATGACAGATTTACACCTCCAAAAGTGGAATTTTTAATTTTTAAGAAAGAGTTTGTAACTACATGCATTTCAAAATATTTTTCAATACTAATCTTTAAAAACCAACATATTTACATTCAAAGGCAAACGACTACAGCTCAGGTCTTACTGTCCTCTGGGAATAAATTAGTAGATCTCTACGGCTATAATCATTCTACATCAATATTTAAAATACGTAACATAATTTTAGGCATTACATAAGTTCCCAGATAAGCATATAAAACTACCAAAATAAACTAGGTCTAAATATTAACATCAGTAAGAGACCTGAATTACTGCACACTGATTTTAGCTTTTTGAGCCCAACTGTTTATCCATGAAGAATATAATGATGTTATATTGCTTTTATTGCTGAAAATGTAATCCGAGCAAAGCAAAGGAGGAATGAACCATCCGCAACCCAAACAAACTTAGTGAATACAAAATGAAAAGCAACATCAATTTCACTGCAGACAAACCCAGTCACACAGATTAAGCAAGCACAATACTGGTACGTCTTATCTCTGACCACAGGAGGAGGGTAGACAGATTCTACAGGATGAAGAAATTCAGACTATGTAATAGGCAGAATCAATTGTTACCTGCCTCAATCAATGCAGCTCCACTTTCACTGTTCAGCAGCTCACAAATAATTAAAGTTATCCTGGACAAAAACCTCATCTGTAATGACTAGCTAACCGCCACCATGACAAACTTCAAAGTCAGTGATATCAATCTGAATTCAATAGTGTGGAACTGGATATAGCTGATGAATAAGTATGAATCTTACCCTGATGGTCCATGCACGCACTTCATCTGGGCCTGCAGTGAAAAAGTATTCTAGTTGGAGTGCTGCATATCCAGCCTTAATGATCTTTGCTAAAGCACTGAAAAAAAAAAATGAATCCAATTCATTCAACATATACACATAAAACAGCTAAATGCCCCCAAGTAATCAATTTACATGGGAAAGACATCCTGTATTTTGAAGACACTGGGTCTACTTTTAAACACAGCAATAATCGCAGTAGCCCTTTTCTTTGAACTCCCCTCAGAAGAACTACTTTTTTACTGCAGAATCATAAAGACAGTGTTTTGATTTGTTTATTCAGCGGGCTACAGAAATATGGGATAAATTTAAGTTACCCTATCAAGCAGCACTTTCGGTCTCATGCAATTTTCAGGACTCCAGGTCATGAAAGCATAACTGTTTGACTGAAATCCAATATTGAAACAATTTATTGTAGTTCCTCAGAAAAATTATGGCAAAATTTTCTCTACTGTCCCTATTCCCCATGGATGACGAAACAGTTTTGGTGATCATTCCTTCTCAAAAATATACATAACTAATACCTATGTTATAATTAAAACACTGTACAGAGATGACAGATGACAGTTAAAAACTTAATTTAAAATAAATCTTTTCACTCTGTCTCATGGTAAAGAAAGGAGAAGATTCTCTCTTTATAATGGTAATTACTCTGTCATTTATTATTCTATCAGCGCAAGCAATTAAATTACTGCAAGGAAATAGTTGATAATAAAGTGTA